ACTGACCGAGCCCGGGGTTTCCCTGGGCACAGCATTTCCCTGAGGACGTTCACCCCTAACTAAAAAGTCAGGCCGCCCCCGTCCCTTTCCAATGCCCTGTCTGAGAGGGGCAGGCTGGTACCAGCGGGGCGGCCCCACTCCCCGGCTGCCTTCCCTGCTCCTGGGTTTTTCCGCACACACTTGTACATGTGCACACAGGAGGTGGCAAAGCTCGTAATCCTGCATACAAGACTGTTTCTTTTGCCTTTGCAAAACACCGTGTCTCATCTCGGGTGGTGCGAAAGAGCCATTTGTGTTGGAAACACCTTTCAGTCACTCCCTTGCCAAGTCGGTGGGATGCTGGCTGTCTTTCCCTGGGGCTGTGGGGGTCTCCATGGGGTGGGAGTAACGAAGACAGCCAAGTGGGGATGGGCTCACCTGCAACTGAGCTGTACCTATGAACACGGAGGGGACACGCAGGCTGTCTGCTGCAGCGTGCTGCTGGGAGGGTTGGGGGGCAAAAGGACCCCCCTGGTGCAAGCCCCTTGGTGGCCTGGCTTGTGGGCCCTCTGTGGCAGTGTGGGGCAGGTGGTGCTGCTCGGTGGCTGAGAAAAATCAAGTTGTTTTCTGAAGGGAGGGGAGACACCCGCAGCCCAGGGGTTGGAAATACATCTGTGACCACTTGGAAAGTTATTTTTGCTACATGAAAGGCTGGGACACGAGGACAGGGTCTCCTCCAGACTGTATCACCTCTTGGCTTCCCTGCTAGTACAGCTCATTTATTTGGTTTGGCACTGACTAGCCAAGCTGTGTAGCTGCCAGGTTCACCATGTTATAAGGAGCTGCTAATGTCAGGAAGAGCTTTTGGCCGCAGGAAAGCCCTGCAGATGTTGTCCAGGTGGTTCTGCTCTCCATGAGCGTTTAGGAATAGTCAAGCCATGTAACAATTTTACCATGATTATTTTTCTTTCGAAACATGACTGGGATTCCTGACAGGCGCTGGAGCAGGAGCAAAGGGCGGCGTGCAGTGCAAAAGCTGGTCGAAGCGTGCGGCATGTGCTGGCAGCGTGGGCCGGAGAGATGCCAGAGGAGCAGGACCCGGTGAAGCATGGAGGGGACCGGCACTCCAGACCAGCTTGGAAATAACTGGCAGGCTCCTCCGTGCGGCATTTTGCACCACACTGCTTGTTAGGCAGGGCAGCTGGCGAGACTGAGCAGCAGGAGAGGTGTTGCCTGCCCACGTTCAAATTCTTGTGGTTCTCACGTTTCAGAATTTTGACTCAGGATCCAGCTGAGGCAAAGAGAGACTCGTGTCACCTCGCCGGAGGGGTGGCTGCCTTGAGCAAGCCCATGACAAAGACGCCTTGGTGAGCTAGCTGAGCCTGGCTCCTCCCTGCCCTACGCACTCCCAACCGGGGCAATGAATCACCACCTGCGGTGCCTCTTCCTCAAAGGCATCTCCCAGCCGAACCAAGGCAAACACATCCAGACCCCGTGCACAGCCCCCCTCCAGGCGCGCTGCACCGTGCTGCTGAACGGGAAGCTCAGGCCACGTGCAAAAATGGGCTTACGCCCCTCACCTGGGCTAGGGGGGCGTTCGGATGCCCAGGGTACAACCTGCTCCTTCCCTCTCTCTCGGTTCCTTGGCTGTACGTAGACTGGAGGACATGTGGACCCTGCCGGCACTGTGCCCAAGCCAGGGGCAGGAGGAAGGGGTCCTCCTCTGCCCACAAACCTGCTCAAGCCACCAGGCGACCTCCGAGCACCCCTGAAGCCCACTAGCAGCCACCAGGCGACCTCCGAGCACCCCTGAAGCCCACTAGCAGAATTAGAGGCTGCTCTTTTCCTTGCAAATTCTTCTGCTGCTGCATCCCCTCCCAGGCTCTCTGCCATAGCCTTGCCCTCACCACCTTAGTCCCTCTTCCTAGCCTGTCCCTGCTCCCTTTCTCTGACCTACACACCTTTTCTCCACATGTAAGCTAAGTGTTAACTTCTCAAGATTTTGAAGAATCCCAGATCTGCCAAAAGAAGATCCAGAAGGAGATTCTAACTTTTGCTCAGGCATCTCTTACCTTTAACTGGCCTTTATTTATGTGGGAATTAATGCTGAAAGTAAAGGAGATGTAGGGTCAGCTCAAAAAGAGCAGGGTTTGCAGCGGGGTCTTCCCTGTTTTCCTTGTGAACCTCAGAGCCACTTAGATTGTTAGTTCACTTTGCCATCTAATAGAGAGAGAAACCTCAGTCAAGTTGCCTTAATGTTTATTTTATTTAAAGAATCAGAAACACAGTCATTGTAGTTCATTTGTACTCATATCCGCCAACATTTCCTAAATCACGTTAACATTCATGTATAACAAAAACATTTTCTGAGCTGTGCAAAGTTCAAAGGAATTGTTCAATTACTTGAACCCATTTCTAGAAGAGCAAACCTGGCATTTTACAAACTGAGGCCGCCAGAAGGAGTCTTTTCTTTTTTCCCTCCCATTGTAGGAGATGCAGATACCCCCTCCTCCCCCTTGCCCTGGTATGACAGGTAAAAATTAGACCACAGTACGAGTCGAACCTCTCTCAGTCCAGGACTTTCCAAATGGCACTGGGTCACGTTTTCGTATCACTGAGCTGTATTAAGTTCTGCGCTTGTGCTCCTGGCATGGAAGTGATTTGTCCAAGAAGATTACTCAGTAACCCAAACTGTGATGATAAGCAATAAACAGGGGCCAGAAACAGCTGTTATCAAAATAGAAACACCCCTCCTCCCCCCCCCAAATATTTTTCCTTGCAGGAGGTATGACTGGAAGGGTTGTTGTCCACTAAAAAAACATCATCCTCCCTGCAAAATATATTTTAAAGCACTGATTTCATGACACGACACCTGCGTGTTTCCCTTGATCTTCTCACACATCAACTTTTGTCCTGTTAGAGTCAAGCATGAAAAGGTGGAAATCTGGAACCATTTTAGATCTGGCTAAACACAATAGGCAGCAAGCAAGCTGTCATCTGTTTCTTTTTTCTGAGTGTAGTAAATACACCCATGGAATAGAATTTTAAGAGAGCTTTAACCACTGTAAGTTGTCAGAAAAAATCTCCTCACCTCTGACAGATCTAACCCAGAATTTTTATTGGAATTGATAACACGCGTTTTGGTGTTGCTGACTCGCTAACTGTGCAGTTTACTATTGGAGGTGCAGTGATACCAGTTCTGATCTGAACCAAACAAGTGGACAGATATGGCTCTAGTCTCAAGCAAGTCTTTCCAGAAGACGTTTCTTCAGTCTCTTATTGGTTATAAAAAGGCAATTTCCTCTCAACAGTAACTAAACTTTTAGTGGCTGACTCATTACGATCTGGAATATGAACAAATGTGGCAACGTTAAGTATAAAAAGAAATACCCTGAAAATGATGCCTCCCTGTTTGAAGGTGCTATACTTGGCCATGGACTGTGTTTCTGGAATTGGTTTGTTACATGTGACAGCAAGAAGAAACTTATTTTACAGAGAACAAAGTCACGGAGCTGAACTTAAATAGGAACGCTCACTTACATGGGTTTTGATAGGTACTAGTATACACGGCTTGAATGAAAACAAAACTTACATCTTCGCATATGAAATACTGGTAACGCAGTAATGATGTTCACCCACTGGGCCTCTTCCTTTTAATAAGATCATCTCCAGGTTGCAGTGCCTCCGACACGCTTTTAAACGACCACCACATGTGGGCTTTGGCAAACAGCCAGCCGCTGGCAAAGGCAAGGTATGGATACAGCTACGAAAAGCCTTTCATCACGTTTCATTCCTCAAGAGCTGATGTCTTTTTAAATACTCTCACAATCGCATTATGGATTTTTTTTCTCATTCTGCTTCATATGAATAACTGGCTAAACTTGCTTTACATTTATTGCACCTTCAAGTCCCTGGTAGACGGAAGCTTATATTGCCTGATATGGTTTGTATTGTAGCTTGACCACGTTAAGAAATCAAACAGTCTCCAGAACTGTGTATTTCTACAGTAAGAAATCACATTTCAATAACGCTAATTACAGCCGTTGCAGATCAGCTCTCGTCTCCGTGATGCAATGACAGAGGAAAACTCCACGGTCCCTGCGTGTGCTAGAACCTGCAGTGTTCTTCTTATTGCCATGAAAAAGTCAATTAAAACGACTCCTCTGGGAATTACTTCCAATTCTGAAGTAATTATGACTCTCGAGACAGAACGCTGTGCTTCAGCATGGGTCTTCAGCCACTCTAAATACGTAGGAGAGAGCAAGCGTGTGCGTGTTACGCAGGCACGCTCCCCCAGGTATATTTATCGGTGACCAAGCGGCTTTTTCTCTTTTCCTCTATGAAGCATGAACAAGCAGTCTGATCTCGATCTTCAGGTACGTTTCTAATTTCGTATGTTGAATGTAAATCTTGTTGCAGCCTCTCTGTTTAACCAAACCAAATCTTCAACAATTAAAAAAAATAGCACCAGATGTATGAAAAAGAGGAAATGTCTGATCTAGTAGGAATATATATAAAGTAGAGCAATTCTTACAGTAAAAAGGTATGTCATACAAAAAAGCTATGGAAAGTGATACTGAAGGACAAAAATCCATGCTGCATATAATAAGGGCAGAAGACAGGCAAAAGGGATTCTGCTCAAATAACCACAGTTTAATGGTGGAGCCGTACTTCCTCCAGCACCTCCCCGGCAGCAGCGCCAGGACACCGGGTGGTATGGGACTCTGAGCACTAACACACTCACTGACAAACTTGCGCAGCATATCTTTGAGGTATATAGAAAGCATGACATTAACGTTTTGGACTCCTCATTCTTTCTTGCACGACGATGCACCAATCTTTAGCCGGGGTTTTCTCCACCCTCCCCTCCCTCTTTTTCCCTCGGGAAAAACGAAATCCCAGTTTAGGAGCTTCCTAGCACACCTTCTTGAACTCTCAAATCCATCTTGCATAGGCCAGTAATAAGAACACTGCAGCTCTGACAAATAAGTTACAGCAATATAACAACTTTCCTCTTAATTTTTTTTAAAGATATCTTCTCTATAATTTACACAAAGGGTTAACAGCCGGAGTTTAGGTTACGTACAGTCCAGATGGGCGTCCTTTCAGTCTGTGATTCCAGGTGGAAGGCACTACTTCAACATACCACTGTATGCACCGCACGCGGTCTCAGGAGCACAGCGGGGCACTGCGTCTCCCGAGCTGTAGACTGAAGGGCCTGGGGGGAGTCTTTGGAAATAAAAACGGCAGTGGTTATCAGTCCAGTTTCCCTTTGCTGTCTCTTCTTGTGCTATGCAGTTTCCCCTGAAAGCTCCTCCAGTTGAGAGAGCGGCGAGCCGTCCTCAGAAGCTCTCAACAAAGCTCCCGGGGAAGAGGCCCGTCCTGCCGTTCCTCTGCAACGTCCCTTTGTACCAGCCGTCCTCCCGTTTCTTGTGCACAAACACAATGTCACCTTCCTTCAGTTCGATCTCGGCCTCGCTCTGCGGCGGGTACGGGACCACGACGCGGTACCTTTGGAGACAAAAAAGCAAAGACCTGGTCAGCCAGCGGTCGAGCCTGTGCCTGATGGGAGCAGCCAGGCACCAGAAGCAGAATCAGAAATCTCGGGGAAAAATACTTTTGGAAACATCAATAAGTTACATTTTCGCACACCAGTCGTATCTGATACAGCTACATTTTCTACTAAAACTCAGTATGACAGGGAGATTTCTGGCCAGCTTGATTGGAGACTTGACCAGGATGTGCTCCAGAGCCAGACCATGAAAGCAAGAAGGTATTGTCAAATGGCTGGACTACTTGCGGTGGCCCTTGCTCCTGGTCGCATGCCAAGCCTGCACCAGGGACTCAGCCACTTTCTCCCGGCGCTGCATCTGCCTCTGCTGTAACACATCCGGCGCTGCATCTGCTCCATCCAAAAATCATAGAATCATAGAATCATAGAATGGTTTGGATTGGAAAGGACCTTTAAAGGTCATCTAGTCCAACCCTCCTGCAATGAGCAGGGACATCTTCAACTAGATCAGGTTGCTCAGAGCCCCGTCCAACCTGACCTTGAATGTTTCCAGGGATGGGGCATCTACCACCTCTCTGGGCAACCTGTGCCAGTGTTTCACCACCCTCATTGTAAAAAATTTCTTCCTTATATCTAGCCTGAATGTACCAGGCCCTACTAAAAAGTCTGTCCCCATCTTTCCTATAAGCCCCCTTTAAGTACTGAAAGGCCACAATAAGGTCTCCCCGAAGCCTTCTCTTCTCCAGTCTGAACAACCCCAACTCTCTCAGCCTTTCTTCATAGGAGAGGTGTTCCGGCTCTCTGGCCATTTTCATGGCCCGTCTCTGGACCTGCTCTAACAGATCCATGTCTGTCTTGCACTGGGGACCCCAGAGCCGGATGCAGTC